TTTATTCCATCTTTAAGATATAATTAATTTTAAATTGAAGGGATGTGATTTTTGTGCACGATAATTTTAATTAACTTGACGAAGCTAGAGTACCAGGTATTTTTTTCACAATTACCTTGTCCAATAGCCTATAAAAACTGTTCTGTGTCTAAGGTGCCCTGATAAAATACAGCATACAACAAATGGGAATGAAATATTCCATTCTTGCCACAATCAAATTTTTGCTATCCAAGTTTGCTTCAGTGTTGCTCAGATAAAAGAATGAACATCCAGATTTTTAACCCTAAATAGACTCCTGATATATACAGCACTTAACACAGTTTTATAAGAATGAGTCACAATGTCATAGTTGGAACACTTCACATACAAGCCATATATTGGAGATGAAACAAGACCACACTGCTGTTAATTGTGGATCATTATAAAGTTTCTGCTTGATAATAGCTGAGGATGGGCTGAAACACTGTCAAATTTCACCCACAATGTGTGGGTTATTTATGAAAAGCTTTATTCTTGACTGTTATGTTATATACCTGACTATTGCTAAAGTTGAAGTAGTGCACCCATTCTTATTTAAAAGGCTTTAACATTCAGAAACAACACACTGCCTACAATGTTGAAAATTATCCACTTCTGCCATATTAGTTTCCAGTATTCAAACATAGTGAAATGTAATAACTTGTCTGTTTGTCACCAAACACTGACAGAGGTTCTCTGATAAAATGTGATAATGTTCAGTAAAATATGGCAGGAGATGATTGTTGATGTAAAAGAGAATTTAATGTAAACTTCAATTAAAGCTTGATTCAAAATTAGATTTCAGTAATATATAACCAATACAATACCTGCCTGTTACTATATGATTCAGCAGGTATTGTTATTAAGGGGGAGTGGCACAGTAAACATACTGTACATTATATAGGACTCAACAGTAAAGATTTTTCGATAAGCCCCAGATATTCTCTTAACCAGTAATGTGCTGGTAAGTCTAATTTTATTATGGCATGAAAATACACATACAATTTTTTCTGTTTATTATAATGTATTTTATATTTCAATAAAAATTACAAGTCTAACATTTTATTCAATATCCATTTAAACCCATTCATCATCTTAACATTCATGGAGGAAAACTTTACATTTGCAAAAAAAAAAAAAAAAGTGGCTTTGAAATGTTTACAGTAAATTATATTACAAATGCTTAAGTAACAATCTAGAAGTAACAGCAGGTACAAAGAAAAGTTGAGTTCATGTTGTATTGACACCTAACCAGGTTACAGTGTCATTCCAGCAGCCTAGATTTTGTCAGTACAAGATCTTTTGCATATGACTATACAATTCTCCCTTTTGCTTGTCAGCATCTTTATTCTGACTGGTTAATAAAACAAACCTACTGACATATTACTGATGGTAATAAGTCAGTAGATTTGACATCTACATCAGATTTATAAAACACACACACAAAAAAAAAAAAAAAATTAAAAAAATAGACATCCAATCTTGTAAGATTTAATTTTCAAATCACTGGGAATTAACATGAGCACTGGGCATACCTATTGCAGTAAGGTTGGCTGATCACTCGGGTAAAGAAACAAAATAAATTATCAACCTGAAAATACATTAGCACAGCACAGAAAATTACATATGTACATGTTACCTGCTGTCAAAGAATAACTAGATGTCACTAACTGAGCATGCTATAAAAATAATATAGAGCCAGGACATCATATGGAAAATAATACACCATACTAGCATGTCATTCACAAGATTTGTTTATGACATGCAGAGGCAGACCATAAACTGTGAGTGCCGCAGCAGTGAGATACCAGCGGCAGAGCGAGCGTGAACGAGCAACCAGAAGAGCTACATCCGAGGGAGGCACAGCCAAAGGAGACCCTGGTTCACTTTCTTCACCTCTTAATGCTCGTACCATTCCACGAGTGAGGAAATCTGTATCCTTGTCTGTTACATCCCACAACATTCCTACCACGCATGGGCTGTCATAAAGAGAATACATACAATCATCCTAAATATATAGCTGCTGACATGGTAATTCATTCAGCCTTTAACACTGGCATACACTGAGGGTCAGCAAACTACAGCCAGCAGGATGGATATGGCCTGCTGCCTAATTACATTTTGCAATATGGACTTTTATTATAAATAAATAAATTTGAAAATGTGGTTATCTTATCTTGTATATGTATCCTTTAACTTTATCAGTGCCTTGGCTCCCAAAGCTTAAAATATTTATATCCTGCCCTGTCTCTGCAAAAACTTTGCTGACCTCTGGCATGCACCATAAATGGCTATAATTTTAATTTATTCTACTTTAAACATTAGCATACACCATTAATAGTTATAATTATAATTCTTTAAAGAGATGTAATATCTGAAGAGATAGCAAAGAATTGTATGTTAATGGAACAGCAACAAGAATTAACAATAACAATGCTGTTTAGTCAAACAGAGGCTAATGTTAATTAATAAGGATTTACATCCAGGGAGGAATAACATCTGGAAGGAGTTGGGAAGAGCCAGAGATATTACAGAATGAAAGGAGGTAAAGAAGTTGCGACAGATGAGATTAAGACTGAGATATTAAAAGCAGATATAGAGTGATTGGTGTACTTGTTCAATATATGCATGAAAGGGAAGGTAATTAAAGATTGGAAGAGAGTATAAGAGAAAAGGAGACAAAAGAGTATAAGATTTATAAGGAAGTAAACCTGTTGAGTATTCAAGTAAAGTATATGGTAAAATTATTATTGAGAGTTAGGAATAAGAGTGCAAGGTAACGAGGAGGATTTAGGAAGGTTAAGGGTTGTGTAGACCAAGTGTTTAAAGTGGTGCATATGCATGAGCACTGCTTTGATACTTCTGCCATATTTATGAATTTACAAAAGACATATGATAGGGATGCAATATGGCACATGTTGCAAATGCATGGAATATGTAATAGGTTACTAAAAGCAGCAAAGAGGTTTTATGCAGCATAAGGTTCAGGCTTGGATATGTACAGGAGAAAGAGGATGATTTGCCAGTCAGAGAAGGCTTAGACAAAGATGTGAATGCTAGGGTATTGAAAAGTGCAGGAATAAAAGATTAATTAATCTGTATAAGATAAAAGGTGTAAAATACCAACAAATTGATAAGGTACATGTGCAACATCTAAATATCTTTATTTGAGATGTTTCACAAACTAGGGGCTTTCTCAATCTAATAGAGAAATGAGGAAGGAGATTCATATAGGGACCTAGCAAGGTGGAATTAGTGGCAAAAAGTAGTAGTACTGTAGTAGTGGTTACATAAGCTCAGGCAGAGCTTGCAAGAGATGTAATTTGCAGGCTGAGGAAACTGTGGTCAGGTTGAGACGAAGTATTAGGCTACAAGCCTTATACTAGAAGCCTAATACTTCAGCTCTTCTTCATGTGTGGTATGAATATTATGCAGAGAAAATGAAAAAAGTGTGGTGCTACTACAGGTCTAATTCAAGAGCAGCTATTCATGTGGTGGTGCATTTTAAAAGGATAAAGTAGAATAAGATGACATAGAGCGCATATAAGCCTAGGGTTAAAGGAAGGACAGGGTAGAGGTCTCAAGAAAGTTTGGAGGAAGGGAATAAAGGTCTTCAATGGTTGGGGGCCTGAACATCCAGCAGCCATGGATGAAATAGATATGATTTTGGAGAGCAAGAAAGATCAAATTTATGAATGGATTCAGGGAAACTAGTTAGCTGGATTCAAGCCCTTGAGATGGGAAATATAGTGCCTGCAATTAAAAGGATGGTGTGGATGTTGCAATACCAAGGGTTATTCGAACTGTATGCTTCTGGCAAGACAGCCATATATGAATGATGGTAAATGTGTTATTTATGAATCAATCTACCATGGCAGTAGATACATAGTGTGGTAAAAAAAGAAGTACTGTAATAAACAGGCACTGCTGTATATTGTATTATTACAATGAGTTCTCAAATTTTAACATACCAGTATGCTATTAAGTAGTTAAGAACAACCCCCCATGGGTCTGGAATTCGTCCTCGGGGTGCTAGGCGTACGGAAGCACAACCATAGAGCAGAACCAATGCCCTGCAATCAACTCCTTCAACCAGTTCACCTGGCAGGTACTGACTACCTGAGCCATGACCAGAATACCTGTTAATATATCATACCCAGTAAGCAAAAACATTTGACATATAAGAGAGGCAGGGTTATCAAATCACAGGAGGAATAGGGCTCAAACCCATGGCAGGCAAGTACTAACACTTGCAGACCAGTGTTTTACGACTCACCTGCCATGGCTTTGAACCCTGCTCATTCAGTGATTTATTTCAAACAGTATTATTACAATTTCATAAATCAAGAGGTAGGGTGCTTAGGTGAATTAAATGTGAAAACATAATGAGTCATAAAAAAAAAAAATCATGAGCAGAATTACAGGAAGGAGGGGAAGAAATACAAGAAATGAGTGAATGGGGGTATGGGTAAAATGGATATAGATACCAGGAAGTTTTGTGAATATGCTTGTCTTCCCTTAAGAATACTTATTTCAATCTTGCTGGATACGAAAGAAAGTGATGGCTCTGTTATAAATTTCTGTTATACTTTTGCAGTACAAGAACAATAACTGAATTTTGGATATAATTTTTCCTCATTTGTTGGGTTTAATGCACTGGTTTACAGAACAGGATTGTAAGGAGAGGTTTGGGATATTTGCTATTTGGAGTGACATCTGAACTGTCGTATCTGTATGCCTCTGGCAAGACAGTGATAGTGTTTCTTTTTTGGGTCATCCTACCATGGTGAGAGATGGCCAGCATGTTAAAAAAAATATCAGTCAAAAATATGCGAGTTTTAAGTTGGTATTAAAAAATACTTTGCTTCAAGTGTTACAACTTTCATAAAATTCCCATACTTATTAAGTCTACAGAAACATTACCCCCATGAATATGAAGGTTTTAATGTATATGCATCATGTATGTATACATGCCTATATACACATGTGAACTGCACAAGTAATCACATTCAGCAACACAAGGCAAAGTATTAATGCTAAAAGATTCCAAAATATCCACATTACCCATATCACAGAACTTGGTTAAAAAAAACTTGGAACTCACACAAATAAATCTTGGTTAGTGATAGCATCTCTGAATTCCTCATGAGTAGGTCTGCGAGAGGTAATACCTGGCCAGCCAGTCTCGTCAAACACAGACTTTAAACGTTCTTGTGTTCTTGGCAAGTTGTTATCTGGATCCAACAGATAAAAGCCCTTACTTGAATCAACGCCTTGAGCTAGGACACTTGAACTTCGGCAAGAGTGATGCTGATACAAAGAATGGAAAAAATGCACTAAAAAAATTAAAAAAAATTAAAAGAAAAAAAAAGAAAAGATAATGTAACATTTCTTAGAGAGTTGTACTGAACTTAAGAATTTGTTTACTTTTTTGATGTACATTATTTTTTTTTAAATTTTGACTCAAAACTAAAAACAACATCTATAAATTGAAGTTTTTTCTTTTAAATAACTGTATTTCACACTAAAATACCTAGGGTACTTAAAAAATAAAGCACATCACTTGACTTCTAGCTGTACTTCCAAATGGGCCCAGACACAGTGGTCCAATGTCGAGCCACCAGGCCTCAACATCCCTATCCATGCATATTACTGATATTCAATACCGAACAAGATGATGAATTAGACACATGCAATATTTGGATATCGTTACTTGATGTTTCATTATCCAGTGGCTTTATTATATTATGTCCAGGTATTGCATTAATAAAGCCACATGATAGCAAGACATCTACAATAAAGATACCCAAACGTTGTAAATGTGTCTAATTCATCATCCCTATCCATCTTTTAAAGAAGCACTGCAATTTTTCTCCCTTACCACCATTTCCATCTCAATGTTCTAACAATCATTTTCTCCTGTAACCTTTAACTCCTGCTGCACACAAACACTAAACTTTTAAATTCGTACCACGCTTCTTTGACATCCTCCTTATAACTTTCTATCATGACAGCCATCCTTTCTTCCAACAGTTGCTCAAACCTTTCAATAACCATCCTTTCCCCCTTTCACTTTTTTCTTACTAACAGCATTCTTCATACACTCCATTAAATATTGATCAGAAATGGCAGCCGCTCCTCTCAAAATATGTACTGTACTTCCAAAACTCTTGATCACCAGTATCTAAGGATTAACTGAATATGATTATATTCAACTAGTATTTGGGAATGAGTGTTTCTTTTTCGGGTCACCTTGCCTTGGTGAGAGATGGCCAGTGTGTTAAAAAAAATTTGGGAGTGGACTTGTTGGCAGTTGGGTCCATGAAAGGCTAAGTGAACCACAGAACAGACAAAGGGAAAAATATAAGAGGCATCTGTGGAAAGTAAGAAGTTTACCTATGGGGCTAAAAAAAAAAAAAAAGAGGGGTTACAGACCAGATTCTTGTGGTATCAATACTTTTATATGGGTGTAATGCAAAGGCTTTAAACATAGCAGCAAGGAGGAGGCTGAAGGCAGTCGATATGTCACATATGAGGCTGATGTGTGTGTGAACATTATGCAGAGTTTGAAGCATAGAAATTATAATTCAAAGGACTGAGGAGGGGTTGTTGTGGTTTGGGCATTTAGAGAGAATGGAGAACAGTAGGATGACAAAGAAAGTGCATAAGGCATGAAAGGAATGGTTTGGAGGAGAGGTTAAAAATGGTTCCAAGTACTAATGGCTTAAGCATCCAGGAAGCTTGTGTGAGCATGTTAGATCAGAGGGGAGACAAGTGGATTTTATAGCTCAAAGTGCCATTGATGGGCGAGCAAGGTAATATTTCTGAAGGGATTCAGAACTCTGATTAGCTGGACATGAATCCTGAAGGTTAGAAATACAGTGCCTGTACTTTTATGGATTTTGGTATGATGCAGGAGGCAACATCCCAACCCAACATACTTGAGGCAATTAGTTCCACAAGACTAGTTGCCTCCAGTATCACCCCCCATATCCTGTAAAGCCAGTATGGACATAGATGTCATAATCAGCAAAACCAGAGCAGACCCAAGAGTAACACTGCTGCAAGGGTTTACAGCATTCCATGTGAGGGACACAGTAAGATTTACATAACAAACAAAACAATAAACAAAGTTTATTTCTTTGCAAGGTTACATTGAGATTATAAAATTACAATAATGGGGTACAGTGCAAAGAGAGCCACTATCATGCCTAGGCATTATGGGCAGACTTAATTTAATGGCTTACATACTACTTAATACTAAAGAAATTGATCATAGTTTGTTTAAGTTATACATCTTCTTTGCTTATAGCAGACAGTAGTTTTGCTCTAAATACAATAGTTTCAATAATGAATATTGAAATTAAATTATGGGAATATAACATTGTGAGTTGTTGAAAGTAGTTTACAGTATGAGAATGTTAAAATTGGGTGTAAGGCAGTATTGTTTTGGGTAGGTATTTATACTACAAACCAGGAGACAGGGTGTGACATTCAGACTCAACTGCAAGAATGCAAATATGCTTACCTGGGTGGACAATGTCAACACCACGTGCATCAATCACAGCAACTTACATTCACTCATTATGAATTATGGAGTGCCATTTCAATTATATCAGGAGGAAAAAAAAAAAGATTCTAGAAGCAGCCAACAGACATTCACTATATCTGATACTACTGAACAAAATACTGGAATGTACACACTGGCAGGTGCCATTGCTCATTTTGTATATACACCTACCATCAGACTTACGACCTGCTCGGCTTACGACCACTCGACTTACGACCGTGTTTTTTATGCCAAATTTTTGGGAAATAAACAACTATTTGTGTTGTACACAGTGTTTATCCTAAACCTTACAGTATAAAATACAGTACTAACAGCATAAAAAGTAAAGTAAAACATGAAATACCAAAATAAAGCAATAAAATAAAGTCATTACAAAAATGTTTTGTTGATATTCAGTAGTAAAGTTCGACTTACGACCATTTTGACTTACGACCGGTTTCTCGGAACCGAACTCGGTCGTAAGTCGGACGGTAGGTGTACATAGTCCATATAATGAAAAAGTTTCCTATGAGCCTGACCCATGCCTCCTCCACCTTCATGCAAATCAACACTTAAAAATACATATTGTTTGGCCTGCTTCTCTTCCTATGGCTTCACTTATTATTTCACTTATGACCTCTCCCAAGCCTCACCTCATGGTGCTCATTTGCCTTGTAAGGCAGTATATCTGAGTTCTTTTAATTTTCAGTAAAGTACAGTCTTGGATAAAATGTAATGAAGGTCTCCTTGCAAACAACACATCTTCCTCCCAAGGAAACAAGAATTGTAAATTTAAATATATTCTTATTAAATCACACATTTTTTAAATAAAAGATGTTGATATAATACATAAAATTAACTTTAATGAAAATAAATATATCCTAATAATGTACTGTGAAACAAGGGAACCTAAAAACTTTCAAAAAAATACTTGAGAAGTTTACCTGATATAACAGCAATAGCATACGAAGACTTGGCATCCTAGTGACTGGCTGATCTCTTAAGATCCACATCATCTCCCATGGTAGTGAGACAATGCTCTGAAAGAGGGAGCTACTTTAAAATCATATTCAAATTAATTTTCAATGCGGTATGACATTTGCTGTTTAGAGGGACATCTAAACTGTCTTATCTACGTGCCTCTGGCAAAGCAGTGATAAGTGTGAATGATGGTGAAATTTTTTTTTTTGGGGTCATCCTGCCTCAGTAGAAGATGGCCAGTGTGTTAAAAAAAAATATTTGATCAAACTTTTCTATTTCAGCAAAAAGAGCAGCTTCAGCAAATTCTATCCCACTCATCACAGATACTGCACATCATGCATCCATACTCAACAATGAAGCAATTCCCGTGAGAAAAGGCAAAACCACATCCACAATAAATCTAGTGTTTTTAGAAAAGACAAAGAGATCCTTGGTTTAAATACAATAAATCCACTTGGTAAAAGCAATCATGAACTATTAGAGGTGACATAAGCCACCATCATAGTCCTAATAGTTATCAACTGAGTAATATTTAAATAAAGTAAAATAAAATATAAATTAAAGGAACTGAAAGTGAACTCTTCTAGAAATTTTACACTAATTCTCATCGCCTGAAAATAAAATTACCTTGTCCAGAACAAGTATTACTGGATTTCTCTGAGCTCGTTGCAATCGCTCCAACGTTGCTTCCTCTTTCTGGATAGCAGCATAGAGGTGTTTGACACACTGACTTTTCACCGATGCACTAAGTAAGGATGCTACACTTGCACGTACATTAATGGCGATGTCTAGTTCCAATCTGCTCTTTTTTTCCGATGGTAATGGACAGCTAATAATACACTGAAAAAATTTAAAAATAATTTTTTTAATTTTCACTTAAAGACACAATTTTCTTTTAATGTAACATTTTTTACTGAAACTGAAGTGCATTATTCAAAAATCTCCATTACATTTACTGAATAAATCAGTATTATCGACTTCTATGCTACAAATATGACAAGCTCTGAAGTGAAGTCATTGAGATGTACAGTGCTCGTCATGGCATTATGCCGGGCGAGTGCCCCGGCATAATGCTGTGGTGAAAATCAAAGGCCTACCATACAGGGGAGTCTTTTTTCGTCAGTGCATTCTGCTGAGTAGGAGCCATTAGCACGACATCACGGCCTTCCTCCACACTTCATGGTGACTTCTCATTGCTCACATGGCTGCTGTGTTGAGAGGAAATATTGCACTTTTGTCTCTCATCCGTCCTATCTTGTGTGAAGTGTTCCCTTTGGTTTTGGGGTTATACATCTTTGATTATGGGTAAAAGGAAGTCTTTAACACCTGAAACTATAGCTCAGATCATAGAGTTTCACAAAGAAATAGTGGAGAATGTTAATGTGTGTGAGCATTCAGTGATTAACTGGGTGCAGCGTTTCAAGGCTGGTGGCGGTGCCAAGTTACCGTCTGCCAAACCTCGGTCTGGTCCCTCGAAGAAGACATCTGTTCATACCTTAACTTTGTTAAAGAAGTAGTTCATACTTTAACACAGTTAAGGTATGAACAGATGTCTTCTTCGAGGGGCCAGGCCGAGGTTTGGCGGAAGGTAACTCGACGCCACCATCAGCCTTGAAATGCTGCACCAGTTCCTCACTGAACGCTCACACACACCAACATTCTCCACTATTTCTTTCATCTGGTGCCCAGTTTTGTGAAGCCCTATGATCTGAGCTATAGTTTCAGGTGTTGAAGACTTCCTTTTACCCATAATCAAAGATGTATAGCCCCAAAACCAAAGGGAACACTGGACAAAAGATGGGACGGATGAGAGACAAAATCGCAACACTTCCTCTCACCACATGAGCCACATGAGCAATGAGAAGGCACTGTGAAGTGTGGGGGAAGGCCCTGACGTCATGCTAACATCTGCTACCCAGCAGAATGCACTGACGAAAAAAGACCCCCCTATATGGTAGGCCTTTGATTTCCATCATGGCATTATGCCGGGGCACTCACCCGGCATGTCATGACAAGCACTGTATATGGAATGATGCGCTCAGTTCTACTTAATCACTGATTATTAAGTATACAATACAAAATAAGACAAAAGAGGAAATGTTTACAGCACATTCAGTAGAACACAATTTACCTTGCAAGGGACCATCCTTTTATTTTATGTACTTAGAAATGCTAGGTAATATTACAATTAAACTACATTGAAGAACTCTATTAATAAAGACTAGTGAATAAAACTGGCATTAATACATATACATATATTAATACTGAAAGTAGAAAAAATTATAAATTAGAAAACAGGATATGCACAAATATTAGGCTTGAGATGCAAAGTTTGAAAGATGTAATAATAGCAGTACATTTATTATGAAGTTCTAACCTGCAGCAGTTGCTTCTGAGTGTCTGTGAGGGGTACCTTGCAGTCAGCTAGTATACGAGCAGTAGTTTCCTCCAGGAGGCACTGATCACGAGCATCAAGAGAGCCAACTAACAAACAGCACCAGTGTCGCAACCAGGCCACCTCCATACTCCTAACAACACACTGCAATAAATACAGGAAAATAAGAATTCAGCATCAGTCAATATGACCTGTATAAAAGACAAGAATATATTCAGCTATTCACAAAATTCCAAAATACAAATATAGTCACCCTGCCTCGGTGGGAGACGGCCGACTTGTTGAAAAAAAAAAAAAAATATATAGCACTGTAGTATAATATGCAGCAAGCAACGTGCGAACGTGTTAGATAGAAGTGAATGGAGGCAAATGGTTTTTAGGACGTGACGTGCTGTTGGAGTGTAAGCAGGTAACATTTATGAAGAGATTCAGGGAAACCAGCAGGCCAGACTTGAGTCTTGGAGATGGAAAGTACAGTCCCTGCACTCTGAAGGAGGGATATTAACCCCTTCAGGGTCCAAGGCCCAAATCTGAAGTGGTGCCCCAGTGTCCAAGAATTTTAAAAAAAAAATTTGTTATTTTTTTCTTATGAAATGGTAGAGAATCTTTTTGTGAAGGTAATAAAACAAAAAGTACGAAATTTGATGGAAAATTGACGAAATTATGCTCTCGCGAATTTTGATGCGTCAGCGATATTTACGAATCGGCGATTTTGCCGACTTTGACTCCCATTTTAGGCCAATTACATTACTCCAGTCAACCAAATTCTTAGCTATTTCACTAGTATTACTTCTATTCTATCGATTGAGCACAAGAAATCGCCAAGTCAACTGTTTCAACTACAAATTAAAGTGATCGGAAATTGTTAATTTGGCCAATTTAACACAAAGTTCAAAATATTCCAATTTCAAAATAGGGTCCAGAATAAACAATGTAGGTATTCCTGGCACTAAACTAAACATTTCCTCTGTTCATTAGTTACGTTTTGAGGCTTTACAAATAAATTCCATTTTGATTTTTTATTCACATAATGAATTTTTATTCACACCAAAAAGTAGAAGATTTACTGTTATGCAATACTGTAATAATTGTATAAATATCATCACCATATTTGTGAATGCATATTAGACCCACCAGCTGGCGTGTATTAGATGTGTGAGGTCTTTTGTTTACTCTTGAATATCGGCAAAAATTTAACATTTCTGCTACTTTGAGCTCAGTTTCAAGCCATTTCCAGTGCTAAAACCAATCAAAATCATCCCTATTTCTGTAATATGTCTTCCATTCTATCAAATGAGATCAAGAAATCGCAAATACAACTATAAAAAACATACGAAAAAACACTGCAAAGTTGCTGTTTTAATCGAAAAATCATGATTTCAGTTTTTTTCTCTCATTATACACAGTGTGCTGCAGGATTTGTTTTATGTGGTGCACACATACCACATAGATGTATTCTCTCATATCTAGGCCCAAATGTACCACTCACAGTTTATCAGAGTGAGCTGAGCTCATGACGTAGATCTACGGGATGGACCCTGAAAGGGTTAATGTTGCAGTTTTATAACTGAAGTGTAAGTGTGCTTCTGGCGAGACACTGATGGAGTGAAGGATGGTGAAACTTTTGCTTTTTTGGGCCACCCTGTCTTCGTGGGAGATGGCTGATGTGTTAAAAGAAGAAAAAAGTATAATATGCAAATACTATGGAAAATTACTAAAAAATTATTGCAAATACGTAATTGATATTTAATACTGCCCAATACAACCAATATGCCAGTACACACAAAATACCTTAAGTCTATTATTAAGCTCTTCTCTCTTGGTGAAATATTTCTGCTGCTGGTCTCGGTAGTCCTTGTTAATAATTTTGTTCTCCTCCTTTATAAGTTCCACCTCCTGCCGGATTCCCCGCACTCCTTTATCTTTGGGAGCTGCCACTGCCTAGGATGTATATTTACAAACATTAATTTTATGATACCCTTTAATAGCAAATGATGAAAATAAGCATAAATTCATATTTTTTCATAACATTACAACCTATATGAATTTAGTCAACATTAGTGATGGGATACCTTAAAATATTACTGAAGATTTATCATCACTACCACTAAATAAATAAAATGTGTGAGGACAAGTTTCAAGTATTTTCAAACAGCCCATATAATATGTGCATAGAAAAGTCTTAGATTTACAAAATAATCTTTTTTTTTTTTTTAAACTCAACAGCCATCTTCCACCAAAGTTGGGTGATTCCCCCCAAAAAAAATTCACATTCATTCAGTCAGCCTTTCCAGAAGTGTGCTGACATCACAATCACATATTACCCTCCGACTGCAACATCTGCACCTCTATTTCAGCTTGAAGGCACTGCCCTTCCCACCTTCAAAACTCCAATCCGGCTAACCTTGGCTCTCCACGTTTCGGGACCCCCATGTGGCTCCAGGTTTTCCCAATCGATCTCCCTGTGGTTGAAATCGCCCATTACCAGTAACTTTGCTCTGCTCGAGTGAGCTCTTCTTGCCACCTCAGCCAGTGTGTCCACCATCACCCTGTTGTTTCTATCAATCCCTTCACAAAAGTTATCCTGCTCACACTCCAACAGCATGTCCATGAAAAAATCATTTGTCTAAGTGCACTTCTATCTAACATATTCAGATAAATCTGCTGGATGCTCAGGCCCCTAAATAAAGAGTGTAAAGACAACAAAAATATAAAGTGTCAAGAGAAATAAAGTGACATGTTTTAGGTCTACTAGGAAACATGTGAAGTTAAATTAGATTTATTTAGAGACTGGGAATACAGAAAAAACTTAACAAGGTTTTTTCTTGGAAACATAAACACATATGCAGTTTAATGTGATCCTTTATTGACAACGTTTTGCCCACACAGTGGGCTTTTTCAAGTCACAAACAGATCTACCTGGGGTGGAAGGTACGTGAGTATAAAGGATCACATTAAACTGCATGTGTGTTTGTGTTTCCATTGTGTCGGTATTTTATACCATTTATTTTCAAGGTTTTTTCTTTTTAATACGTCAGCCATTTCCCACTGAGCCAGGGTGACAAAATATCAGTATGTAACAGTATATATTATGACAACCTGGTCATCATTAATGATCAAGCAATTCTGCCATTGTTTTAGCCTATTCTATAACAAAACCTAAATAAACTTTCTCTATTCCTTATGTACAGTTTTATTCACTCACAACACTGCATAGTAAATATTTTACTGACTCTAAGGATCCAACATTTTTTTTCTTTATTAACACATCGGCTGTTTCCTGAGGCAGGGCGACCCAAAAAAGAAGAAACACTTTCATCATCATTCACTCCATCATTGTCTTGCTAGAGCCACACCTACACTACAGTTCAAAAACTGCAACATATCTCCACCCCTCCTTCAGAGCACATGCACTGTATTTCCCACTTTTAGGACTCAAGTCCAGCTATTCAGTTTCCCTGAATCCCTTCATGAATGTTACCGTGTTCAAAAAAAATAGTAAAACTGCAATACAAAGCCCACTCATAAGAATTTTAACAGCAAACTTAACTAAAAAACTGTGGATATCCCAGAAGAATGAAAGCAAGCAAACAACACAGAGCAGTGAGATTTATTGTTGCATTTGTTTTATAGCATAAAAATATAAAGCAAACTATGTCACACAAGCTTCTACACATCATTAACAGCAAGCATGAGTGAAGACTATCAGTATGGGTATCATTACAACACAGCACAAAACTCCTGATACAACTGGCTTAAGATTTGTAATTCAACTGACTTGGTGCATATGCAACAGTTACAGAGTAACAATAAGGCAATCATAATCAATCTTTCTAATGATTTGGTCTTGATATAATCTCATATGTATACCTGCACAGTTACAACTGGTTGCAGACCACATGTGCAGCGGGATATGTACAGTCCAGGGGTGGAAGGGTGAGCGCCAATCTTCTGGAAGTTACACTCTCCAACACTCTGTGTTGTTATTTGGACTACTGTCCACTCTGTAATGAAATTTATGAGAAGTAGCATATATTTCCATTATTTAACGTATTTCAAAGAAAGAAGTGATTAACTACAGTACAATAAATGTTGCATAAATAGTGCCTGTATGTGAATACACATGCACACACACTAACACATACACAAAGTTGAATTCTACTGCTAGTATCATGAAATTTTATTAAATTTAGAATGAATAAGGTATCACTCTGGCATTTCCACACTGTTTGTTGGTAGGGAAGCTGGTGGTGGAAAACTAGCTCCTGGTTTCAATGTTTATTTATGTTAGTTCGGCAGAGTTACCCTCTGATGCATTGCATGAACACACCTGGTATCAAAATTTTTCAAAAGCAACATTCCTGACCTCAGTTAAGCTGAGGTCAAAAATATTGGTAGATGGAGTATTGGAAAGCACAAAAAATTGTGCATACTAGTATGTTGGACACAGTCATCATCTGAGTGCTACTCCATTTGACAGAGTTAAAAGGTTATATAAATATTGAGATTCTACAGTCTTTCCATTTACTCATAAATAACAAAAAAAGGCACAATACCGTGACTGGAATGATACACAAATAACCTGCACACAGAAGAGAGGAGCTTACGACGACGTTTAGGTCCGACTTGGACCATTTACAAAATCACACTAACGAGAAGTAGAGCAGGACGGGTATATAGGAGGAGGAGGAGGAGGAGGAGGAGGAGGAGGAGGAGGAGAGGAGGAGGAGGAGGAGGAGGAGGAGGAGGAGGAGGAGTAGGAGGAGGAGAGGAGGAGGAGGAGGAGGGGAGGAGGAGGAGGGGAGAGGGAGGAGGAGGAGGAGGAGGAGGAGGAGGAGGAGGAGGAGGAGGAGGAGGAGGAGGAGGAGGAGGGGAGGAGGAGGAGAGGAGGAGGGAGGAGGAGGGAGGAGGAGGAGGAGGAGGGAGGGGAGGAGGAGGCGGAGGAGGAGGAGGAGGCGGAGGAGGAGGCGGAGGAGGAGGCGGGGAAGGAGGAGGCGGAGGAGGAGGCGGAGGAGGAGGCGGAGGAGGAGGCGGAGGGAGGAGGCGGAGGAGGAGGCGGGAGGAGGAGGCGGAGGAGGAGGGCGGAGGAGGAGGCGGAGGAGGGCGGAGGGAGGGGAGGAGGAGGGCGGAGGAGGAGGGGAGGAGGAGGCGAGAGGAGGGAGGAGGAGGCAGGAGGAGGGAGGAGGAGGCGAGGAGGCGAGAGGAGGAGGCGGAGGAGGAGGCGGAGGAGGAGGCGGAGGAGGAGGCGGAGGAGGAGGCGGAGGAGGAGGCGGAGGAGGAGGGGAGGCAGGAGGGCGGAGGAGGAGGCGGAGGAGGAGGCGGAGGAGGGAGAGGCGGAGGAGGAGGCGGAGGAGGAGGCGGAGGAGGAGGCGGAGGAAGAGGCGGAGGAGGCGGGAGGGCGAGGAGGAGGAGGAGGCGGAGGAGGAGGGAGGAGGAGGAGAGGCGAAGGAGGAGGCGGAGGAGGAGGCGGGAGGAGGAGGAGGAGGAGGAGGAGGTGGAGGAGGAGGAGGCAGAGGAGGAGGAGGAGGAGGAGGCGATGGAGGAGGCGGAGGAGGAGGCAGAGGAGGCGGAGGAGGAGGCGATGGAGGAGGCGGAGGAGGAGGCGGAGGAGGCGGAGGAGGAGGCGGAGGAGGCGGCGGTGGTGGTAGTAGTGGCGGAGATGGAAGGAAGTAATGGGGAAGTAAGGAGGAGGAGCCAGTCAAATACAAAGAAAGGGGAGCACTGCAGGGGAGCTAGGTGCCCACAGAGGGAGAGCAAGAACACAGAGGTGGGGGAAATAATGAAATAAATAATGAAGGAACAGAAACAAGACAGAAGAAAGAAAGACAACCCAGAAGAGAAAAAAGGAAAGAGGAAAGGGGAAGAGGGAGCAGAAGAAAAAGGAGGAATCAGGTTGTCATGGGTGTTCTGAAGTTTGGAGCATTTTACAATGTAGTGGGAGAGGAAGGCATCTACAGGACTAAGATTCATACAAGGAAAGCTGTGTATTAGAGAGGATTCAACAAGACGGTGACTGTTAAAGTTGGAAGTAGGGAAGACAGTTTTAGCAGAAGACCAGTCTATAGGATGGCTGTGATCTCTGACGTGACAGAAAAGAGCATTGTTAGTGTCGGCAAGCTAACACTATTTTTGTGCTCCCTAAGTCTTTCAGAAAGAGACTGGCCAGTTTCTCCAAAGTATTGAAGAGGACAGGAGGAGCAAGAAATAGAGTAGACACCAGGAACATCTGTAAAGGGAGGAGAGGTATGAATGAGATTAGTGGGAAGAGTGTTAGTCTGGCGGAAAGTAAGCTTGATGTCTAAGGGAGGGAGAGAATTGTTGAGATTAGAAAGACCGGAAATGTAGGGAAGGCAGAGGACAGAAGAGTTCCCAGGAGTAGAGTTTGGGAGAGAAAAATTACGCTGAGCACGTGAGAGGGCAGAGTCTATGAAACGGGAAGGGTAGCCAAGACGGGAAAACGAATTATGAAGAGTGGAAATTTCTGCTGGAAGGAACTGAGGATCACAGATGCGGAGGGCATGGAAAAAGAGGGAGATAAGAACACTTTTCTTGACAGAGAAAGCATGATAGGAAAAGTAGTGAATGTACATGCAACTGTGCATAGGTTTACATCTACTCCTAAACATCATGTTAGGACTATTTAATTAATGCATTCAATTTATAACACTGACCTGAAGGAAGTTTTTGCAGAAGACTCATGGTTTCATCCACGTTAGTGGCAGCAAGTGTAATTTTCTCATCTGTCAGGGAGTCAGGAGACATAACCTCACCACAATCCTCATCTCCTTTATTACCGTGACTGTAAGTCAAATGTTGTGGTGTAAACTTTTTATCTTATTACCTTGTTCACCTAGGGCATCAATTCAGTCAGATAGAAAATGATATACATTGTTCAACAAAATTTAAAATGTGCATCTGGCATACAAATAAAACAATTAATAACCCAATAAACCCACAAGAGGACAAACAGCAATGCAAGATGTAGAGTGTTACAAGAAGAAAAACTGTCCAATCTGTGTTCGTACTGTAATAACGTTATACCTTGGAAAACTTCTTTTCTTTAAAGGGTGAAATCTAAATACATATATAAAAAAAAATCTTAATGTATTTCAGGTCACTATTAAAATTTAAAACATTTTAAAGAAAACATCTGAAGAGGTATTCTCTCTCTTGGTATTACAGTAACATACATGTAATATGGAAATTTATTCCTGATTAACTAAGGCTGCTCATTATCTACTTTTATTTGGATGTGTGATGCTGAAAATTTAAGACAGCTAAGAATAGTATTAACTTAGGCTTATGGAGCCGCATAGCCATGCGGTGATGAAGGAGTGTTGAATGAGACAGAGACAAGTGGTGGAAGGCAGCGTCCACTGCCCCTTCTTCTAATTCTTTTTTCGCTGCCATAATGTTGACATCTGCAATAGATAACACCATGTGATGCCATGCATATCATACAACAAACTTCATATGCACTTAATTAAGGATAAGGGAGTAAAATATAAGTTAGATTTCTTGAACTGGCAGAGGGTAAATTAAATGAGTATACCTTCTGCATTATAATTAAATATTAATAATAATAATAATAATAATAATAATAATAATAATAATAATAATAATAATAATAATAATAATTTATTAGGACATAATACATAGTTGTACAAGGTATTATAGGAGTTGGGTGTACATGTCAAAAGCCCCTTGTATGCAGAGCTTACGGGCAGGCTTAAAATTAACTTAAGACTATCTAAGCTATAATAGATTTAATTGTAACAGTTACTGTAGACAATTTACAATATCAAGTACAACTGAGTTATTTTAAACAATGAATTTGAACATGCTGATACTGTCCCATATGATGCTATTGGATACATGCAAAGCAAAATTAAAAAAAATATGAAATTTATAAGTGTGTTGCCATATTCAATTAATTATTATTATTATACTTTATTTGTAAAAAGCACTAAACCAGTGTGGGGTATTCAGCAAAGCATGGTGAAGAGGTGGCTGTCATTTAAGATAAAGCTGTATAAATGCTGAATGAACTCAAGGCCAAAAGAGACCAGAGCTGGTGTAGTAAATAAATTTGCTTAAAAATTCTGACTAAATCTGTATTAATGATTGAGACTTGAGACAGGAGGGCTGACAAAATAAGTACAGTATGTCAGTGAGTTGAAGTAAAATGAGGTAAGCACACTCTCTGATGAATGGCATAATCTATCAAGTGATGCTGGACTGTCTACATAACCAGATCTCCATGAACCTTATAAATTGTATATCTTAAATGTTTCTCACAATTATATCACATAAATGTTAAACCTAAAACCGAATCTAACTTTATTATTTTTTAAATACACTACCTAACAGAACACTTCATAAGACTGAATGTACAACAATGCATGCAACCATATGACCTGTCTTTGTAATACTCACTTGTGCTTTATAGTAATCTGTTTACATTAATGTTTTATCACTGATTTCATCATTGCTTAGTTAATCTTAAGTTAATTTTAAGCCAGCCCGTAATGCTATGCATAGTATAAGTGGCTTTGGCATGCTGCTCTTATCTGTATTTTTTTGTACCTCTGTATGTGCACTCAAATTGTTAATAAATAAATAAATAAATAAATGGATAAGCAAGATATGGCCAACATGCAGTCACCAGATTACCATTTCTCATAACTGATAGCAATGAAAGATATCTAGAAGCCCAATTGTAGTTTGATTAAAAAAGGTTTGTTGGCCACTAACTTAAACCAATTATATACTGTACACTGCCAACATTCTTGCAAGTGCTAAGTCAGTAACAGAAAGTGCAGAAAAAGAACAACTGACTGTGGAAGATAATAAGGTAGTGAACAGTGGATCAGATAGGACAAGTCCAAATAAGAGCTTCAAAATGAATCTCAGACCTTAAAAAAGAAAAGTTATGATGGAAAACTGAAAACTTTAAAGATGCCCAATGGAA